AATTGCAATTGTGTCTAGAAAATCCTTTCTCCATCCATGAATCAAATACATGTTTGGCCAGGTGCGGTAGTTCATGCCTGTTATCCCAGTGCTTTGAGAGGCCATGGTGGGAGAATTGCATAAGGCCAGGAGTTCAAGACCAACCTGGGCAATAGTGAGACCCCGTCTCTACAAAAAATTTTTCAAATTAAAAATTAGCTAGGCATGGTGGTGCATGCCTGTAGTGCCAGCTACCTGGGAGGCTGAGTTGGGAGGATCACCTGAGCCCAGGAACTCAAGCTGTGAGCTGTGATCACACCTCTGCACTCCAGCCTGGGGAACAGAGCGAGACCCTGTCTGGAAAACATTTTTTAAAATTTCAACCAAATTTTCTTCTGTTTTTTAATCACTCCATATTTTGTTTTTTATCCTTTAATTCAACTTATATTTATTTCAGTGGCTGGTGTGGGATTGGGATATAAATTGATTTTTCCCCTCAAATATTAAAATTTCCCCATATAATTTTGTGAAAAAAAATCCACTCACTCTGCATCAAATTGAAATGTTTCCTTTGTCATATATTACTACTTACATGCCAGTGTGTGGTTCTTGCTTACTATTATGTTTCCTTGCTCTCTTTTTCCTTCATTCATATCATTGTTTTATAATTAATGTACCAACTACACATGTAACTCTCTGATAGGGCACATATCTCTTCATTACTTCTCATTTGAGACTTTTCCTACCTATTCTTGTCTTATTATTCTCAGTGAAGTTTTAAATATCTTATCAAGTTCTCTCATATATCCCATTGAGATATTGGTTGGAATTACATTGTCTACTAATTAAGTGGAAAGCATCAACATCTTTCAGTCTTTTCTCCAATGAGAAAAATGGACCGTCTCACTCTATTCAAACCTACATGTATACATCTCAAAATGTTTTAATTTACTCTTAATCATCCTTACTGCTCATTAGGACTATTGCTAGACATTTTATTTTGTCGCTATTGTAAGACTTTTTTTTCACAGATTCCCAATTATTTGCCACAGAATCACACGGAAGCTGTTGATTTTTAGATATTACTCCAATTACTGACACTTTGTTGAGTTTTCTTGTTAATTCTAATAGATTTTCCATTGATTCTTAAGGCTCTGGTTAGATTATCATTGTTCACAGCTCATATGATTATCTGGGATCTCCTCATTAGAACTGCTTCTTATTTGTCCTTCACGTTAAATATTAGAGATGAAAACAATTGCTTGGTTGATTATTATTATTATTTTGAGATGGAGTTTTGCTCTCATTGCCTAGGCTGGAGTGCAGTGGCTTGATCTTGGCTCACTGCAACCTCCGCCTTCTGGGTTCAAGCGATTCTCCTGCCTTAGCCTCCTGAGTGGCTGGGATTACAGGCGTCTGCCACCACGCCCGGCTAATTTTTTTGTATTTTTAGTAGAGATGGGGTTTCACCATGTTGACCAGGCTGGTCTCAAACTCCTGACCTCAGGTGATCCACCCACTTCCCAATGATGTACACATTGTGAGATAAGTGGTTCTCACAATGTGTAATTTGAGGGACATAAATTGATTATCTGCTAGTCTAGATTTTATCTCTGGATCAAACTAGATCATCAGAGAGCCACACACTGGCGTTGCTTTTTCTTGGCCCTACAGAATATGCCTTCAGAGAACTGTGCTTGCCTCCTCCTTTGACTTAATTAAGAATTCTATTAAATCATCTTAAGAATCTACTATCACAATAATTTTTAAGGATATTTTGAGGTCATTGTCAATGACATCACTTAGTAACCTAAATATAAAAAGGGACCTTTGACAGAAATGTCTTTAATATTATGGTACCAGAAAAAGCAGTTAGTATAAGTCACTAGTGTTAGATTTCAGGGTCCCTGGCCCTTAAAACTGCACACTCTAAAGTGTTGTGGGAGGCTGGGAGGCTCATGCCTGTAATCTCAGCACTTTGGGAGGTCTGGGTGGGAGGATCTCTTGAGATTAGGAGTCTGAGACCAGCCTGGGCAACATGGCAAACGCCATCTCTACAAAAATACATTTATTTTTAAATTAACCAAGCATGGTGGCTTTATCTGTAGTCTCAGCTACTTGGGAGGCTGAGGCGGGAGGATCACTTGAGCCTAAGACCATAGTGAACTATGATCATGCCACTGCACTCCAGCCTGGGCAACAGAGTGAGAAAATGTCTCAAAATTTAATTTAATTTAATTTAAAAGTGTTGGGAGGCTCCCTAAGTTATCCAAACAGGACTCTGGTAGCACCATGGTTGGGTTAACTGGTTAAGGTCTAGGCCTATATGTCTAGGTTGGTAGAGTCATGTTGAAGCTAACCTTGTTCATTATGGAAAATAAGAACAAATTTGATTGAAAAAGTCAGAAGAATGTCTCTCTATCAGAGGGAAATAACAGGTAGATATATGCACTGTCACTAAAAGCCCATTTCTATGAACATGCAGCACACCTCGAATCCGGAATCCTCTCGTCGAAAAGCACTTTACCATCATGGCTTCAGCTTTCACTAAGATTCTTACCAAGAACATCCACATGAAAAACTGTTCTGAATTTATTATAAAAAAATCTTGTCAAGAACTTCATCCATCATTCAGTGTCTCAAACTTAGGGTCGCAGATGAGAAATGTCATTCAGGAATTTAGTCAAGGAAAAGCTTTGACTGTTCTGCGAATTCCTAAGCCTGCTTATTTTGGGTGATGACATCTGGGTATTATTGAATTTCTCTTTTCGCTCCCACTTGCCAAGAGTTCAGAGCAAAATTTGCTGCTCTGTCAGAGCCAAGATGTGAGCCCACAGAGTTGACACGTTACTCCCTTCACGGTTCTGATTCCTCTTTCTGGTTTGTTAGCTTTATCATCAATCCTTCTGTAGGTAATTCCAAATCTTTTTTGGAAAAAAGGTCAAGCTTATAGGATATTTCATTTCGTTTGCAGTTGTTAGGCCATTGTTAAGGGTGCAAATGAAGCCTGTAACTGAGGTACCACTAATGAGAGTCAGGATAGGCACAGATGGGAAAAGATGGGGCATTCTCGTTTTTTGTTTTTTGTTTTTTGTTTTTTGTTTTTTTTTGAGCCAGTCTGGCTCTATCACCCAGGCTGGAGTGTAGGGGCATGATATCAGCTCACTGCAAGCTCCACTTCCTGGGTTAAAGTGATTCTCCTGCCTCAGCCTCCTGAGTAGCTGGGATTACAGGCACCCACCACCACACCCAGCTAATGTTTGTATTTTTAGTAGAGACGGGGTTTCACCATGTTGGCCAGGCTAGTCTTGAACTCCTGACCTCAGGTGATCCACCGGCCTCGGCCTTCCAAGGTGCTGGGATTACAGGCGTGAGCCACCGTACCCAGTCCCAGTCTTGAACTTACAATAGGGATTGCAATTCAGCTGGCTAAGTGAAGAAGCCAGCCAGGTTCTGCAGCAGGAGACTGGAGAGAGTGCGCCCTATCGGATGGAGGCAGCTGCCACTCAGACCCCAAGGTTAGATTGGTTTTCTTGAGGTAAGGCAAGCCTGGATTGTCAGATCTTACAGTTTTTCAAGAAAAGCTAGACGTCTAGATTTTTTTTTTTTTTAATCCTGATGTTTGAAATGTTGGCAAGGAATTCCAATTTTTAAAAACACTCTGTACCAGCAAAAAGTAGAATGGTGACTGCCAGAGGGTGCGGGAGGGGCAACGGGGAGTTAGTTGTTCGATGGGTGTTAAATTTCAGCCACAGCGATGAGTAAGTTCCATGGATCTGCTGTGCGGCATCATGTAGTTAACGCTACAGTGCTGGACACTTAAAAATGTGTTAGGAGAGTACATCTGTTAAGTGCTTTTTCCATGATAGTAATAACAATAAAGCACAGCGACACAAGGAAACTTCTGGAGGCAGTGAGGGTGTTAATTACTTTGATAGTGGAGATGGTAATTAAGGGCATATGCAACACATCCAAATTCATCCAACTCCCTCCATTAAATATGTGCAGTTCTTTGTATATCAATTATACCTAATGAAGCTGGTTTTATTCATTTTTAAAAACCCACTCTGGACTAAGCCTCCATCTATGGTTCACACCTGGGCCTTTGGGCTCACAGACATCTGGGGCTTACTGAGTTGACCAAACAAGACTCTGGTAGCACTGTGATTAGGTTAATTCATTAAAGTCTAAGCCTATATGTCTAAGCTGGTACAGTCATGTTAAAGGCTGGCTTATTCAATAGTGAAAATAAGAACAAATTTAAGTTAAAAAGTCAGAGGAAGTTCTAGGTATTAGGAACCCAGTTACCACGGAGACAAACCAGGAACTCTGCCATCAGGGCACTGATGTCATAATGGCAGCAAAGATCCGGAGGACTTCAACCTCCAAGAGACCTGAAGTTCCGAGCTCTTGTCTTCGATTTTGTGAGCATAGATTATAGTAGGTAGAGCCCTGGACTTGAAATCTGGAAGTGGCCTTGATCTCACTTCTGTCACCAACAAATTAGGTCTTGGAAAACCCACTGGATTTCCCAAGGCCTCCATAGCACTCCCGGCAGAAGAAGGAGATTAACTAAGACGTGAATCTTTCAAATTCCTTGTTTCCAAATGTATCTTATCAGAATCCCCAAAGATACGTGAGCATGAGAAAAGAAGTTTCCACTCATCTTGCAGTCATCTGCCTCTATAGAAAAGTTATCTAAATTTTCAGTCTTGCTACAAACACTAAATGCGTGGAATTTTCAAAGGCAAGTGAAAAATAAATACATATCAAGATTGAAAAATAGGAGACCGTGGGACTTAGCAATCTTCACCAGAGGAATTTCTAATTTTACACTCTCCCACCAACAGAAACACAGTCACAATGAACTTTAATGCTTGGACTGTATTTTGAAAAGGGTAGAGTTAATATTATCATGTACGAGCAGCGCCATTTGGACATACACTTTTGTTATACCCGATCGCTTTGTGTAAATAATAAAAGATAACTCAAAAGCTATAAACATCTGACTGTCTGCAGTGTTTTCAGAATACATGTTTACTTTAATTCTGCAATGACTGCTTCAAGTTTTTCCTTAAGGGCGCCGCAAAACTCATCCACCTTTTCTTCTTTTTTATAAAACTGAAAGGTTGGGACACACATGATGGCGCAGTCTCTCACAACCTCCTCACAGTCGTCAGCGTCCACCTCCAGGAACACCACGTCCTCATGCTTCATAGACAGGGCGTGGAAGAACGGTTTGATGGTCCTGCAGGGCCCACACCACGTGGCCGAGAAGTCCACAGCCACCAGCCTCTCCCCAGCCTCCTTCAGTGATGCCTCAAAGTCCTCCTTGCTCAGGATCACTTTCACCTTGTCCCCCTCCAGGAACTCCGTTGTTTCTTCTTCAGGCTTTAGGATGTCACCCTCCTTGGGTGGGATGGTTTCTTCTACGGACTTGGTGCTGTCATCCTCCTTCGGCTGGATGGCTTCTTCTGGGGACTTGGGGATGTCATCCTCCTTCGGCTGGATGGCTTCTTCCGGGGACTTGGGGATGTCACCCTCCTTCGGCTGGATGGCTTCTTCAGGGGACTTGGGGATGTCACCCTCCTTCGGCTGGATGGCTTCTTCTGGGGACTTGGGGATGTCACCCTCCTTGGGCTGGATGCTTTCTTCTGGGGATTTGGGGCTGTCGTCCTCCTTCGGCTGGACGGCTTCTTCTGGGGATTTGAGGATGTCATCCTCCTTGGGTGGGATGACTTCTTCTGGGGACTTGGGGATGTCACCCTCCTTCGGCTGGATGACTTCTTCTGGGGACTTGGGGATGTCACCCTCCTTGGGCTGAATGGCTTCTTCTGGGGACTTGGGGCTGTCATCCTCCTTGGGCTGGATGGGCTTCATTGAGGACTTGGGAATATTGCCCAGCTCGGACTGGATAGGTTTTGCTGAGGACTTGGGGATGTCACCCTCTTTGGGTTTGATGACTTCTTCTGAGGACTTGGGGAGGTCGTCCTTCTTGGATTGGTTGGTTTCTTCTGGGGACTTGCAGATGTCACCCTCCGTGGGCTGGATGGTTTCTTCTGGGGACTTGGGGATGTCACCCTGCTTGGGATGGCTGGTGTTTGCTGAGGACTTTGGTAGGTCATCACCCTCCTGTGGAGCACCAGACTCTTCGGTGGGCATGTGGAATGTGTGGCTGACCATGGGGAGAAAGGCCTTGTCTTTGGCCTGGACTGTGTCCAAGAACTCTAGGGCCAGGAGAGGCACATTGCTGGACAGGACTTGTAATGAACTTTCTGTACCAAATAACATAAAATAAATCAAATAGAAAAGCAAAAGAAGAACCAAATAAATTCTCATCATATTCCAAGGAAGACTGATGTCACTCTTAGAGACCACGAATGAAGTCTGATGAATGGGGTACTGATCTGAATAACTCATTCAACAGAAGGACAAACAGCGTGTAGTTACATGTATCTTCTGTATGCATGTTCTTAAACCGCAACTTTCCCCTTCCTGGTTCAACACGCTGCCCACTCCCTAACTGCATAGGTCTTTAAGGCAACCCTCTTTGCTCCCCTACTTACCATTAGCATCACCTTCATTTGTTTCTTCCTGAGAGCCCAGCCTCATTTCTGGTTTTCCAGGGGCTCCAGCTTTAACAGTTTCCATTACTAGTTCCTTGTCTACATCCATTCCTGATCCTTCATAGATGCCTCATAATAAAGGCCGTACCCTCCAACTTTTTGCAAGCTATCCATCCTAACATCAAAATATGAGTAAAACTTATATTTGGGTAGCACGTTACAGTTGGTTTTCCTTCTCTGTATTCACAACAGTGATATTTGAGAGCTTCAAGGTGGCTGCCCTGTGCTGAAGCTGCGACTATGCATTCACTGTCATCATTTCCTATAACACAACAAACCACTGAGGTCAGAACCATTATGATGAGCAGTTTACACATGAGAAGCTATGAGGCTCACTTAAGGTTGCAAAGCTAGGGTAAGGGCAGGTTCCACAGCTCACGCTCCGCACTGTGAGGCTGTGCTGGACTGCTCGCCACAAGTCCCGTCCAGCCTGGGTTCTGAAAATGAGTGCTGTCCAGCCTGGGTTCTGTGAATCAGCCTTCCTTTCATCTCCCTCCAGCATCCCCCAGCTCCAGCTTTCTCTTTATGACTCACCCGTTGTGACCAGCTCCTAAGTGTCTCCTCGAAACCATGTTAGCTTCCTCTGCAAAGTGTCCCACGATGTCAAATGTTCAGCACCTGCCAGATGGCCTCTTTCCCCACCTCCCCCACCTCCCAGGCCCACCAGCCTAGCCTGTGCCCCTCCCGTGCAGACACATCCAAGTACACGGCTCTTCCAGCCTTTACATGCAGGAGAGCAACCTCTTTGTGAATAATCTTGGTTCCATAAGCCACATCTACCCCATCCTGTGGAATGGGAAGCCAAATACCTGTGCCCCAGGGAGACTTATTTATTAGTTCAGGACCACTGGCTCATTTTCCACCCTCACTCTGCACAACACATCTAGTCCAAGGCAGGAAGAATCAGTGTGGAATTTTGCCTTCTCTACATATACTTTGAACAAATCCTCATATGTTTCAGTTTCACCCCAACAATATAAGGGTCGAAAGTGGTCAGGTGTGGTGGCTCACACCTGTAATCTCAGTACTTTGAGAGGCCACCGTGGGAGCATTTCTTGAGCCCAGGAGTTCGAGATCAGCCTGGGCAACATAGCAAGACCCCATCTCTACAAAAAATACAAAACCTAGCCAGGCATGGTGGCGCACTCCTGTCCCAGCTACTCAGGAAGCTGAGGTGGGAGGCTCGCTTGAGCCACTGAGTTCAAGGTTGCAGTGAGCCGTGATCACTACATTGTACTCCAGCCTGGGCCACAGAGCAAGGCCCCGTCTCTAAAAACTAAAAATAAAAGGGTTGAAATCTAAATGATAAGACCTCCACATTGTCAATAGAAACCTCAAAACATCTAATGGCAATGGTTCAATTATCTGGATTTTTACACCAAAACACGTTTTACTAAGGGATAGAGAGACTATTGGCCTTAGCAAATCCATAGTTCCTTTTTTTTTTTTTCTTTGAGACAGTTTTGCCCTGTCACCCAGATTGGAGTGCAGTGGCACAACCTCGACTCACTGCAACCTCCGCCTCCCGGGTTCATGCAATTCTCTTGCCTCACCCTCTCGAATAGCTGGGATTACAGGCATGCAACCACCACACCAGGCTAATTTTTGTATTTTTTTTAGTCTGGATAGGGTTTCACCATGTTGGCAAGGCTGGTGTCTAACTCCTGACTTCAAATGATCCACCTGCCTCAGCCTCCCAAATGACTGGGATTACAGGCGTGAGCCACCATGCCTGGCCCCGCAGATCCATAGTTCTTGATGACATGAATCCTATTCCAGGAAGAGCTCATGCTTCCACTCTGTTTCCTCAGATACTGCCAAGGAGAGCTCTCCCCTCTCTCACCGGGAGACTTCGGGCCTTTCTTATGTGATGTTTTAAAGGACAGGAGGTTGTCTTCCCTCTCCAATGCCAATGGCTTCCACAGCTGACAGGTCTCTTTTTTCCCTCTCCAATGCCAATGGCTTCCACAGCTGACGGGTCTCTTATCATGGTGCCCTATTTTAAAGCAGAGTATGAAAATAAACGCCAGCCACTTACCTGCTCAGTGTCTTCTTTCCTAGTAAGTGTTAGGAGAAAGGAGGCGATGCAGGGAGGGTGTGCATCCTTTGCAGAAATCATCATGAACAGATTTCATTAGCACAAAGTGGGCAGCCTCTTTGGCCCTTGCTCATTGGTAAGTTAATTTATTTCCTTGGACCCTATCTTGTACAGGGTCCCTGCTGTTTGGAAGGGAGTGGATGAGGACAAAGAGGAACTCCGTCACTGAGAGGCAGAGTGAAAACATTACCCCTGCCATCCCAGTAGATGCGGAGGCAAGGGGACGGATGCCTGTGTCCCACCTCCTTTCTCCAGGTTGATTGCCGGCACAGAAGCTGATCAGATGTGCGGCTGGGCACGGTGGCTTATGTCTGTCATCCTAGCACTTTGGGAGGCCGAGGCGGGTGGATCACCTGAGGTCAGGAGTTCAAGACCAGCCTGGACAACATGGTGGAACCCCGTCTCTACTAAAAATACAAAAGTTAGCTGGACATGGTGACATGTGTCTGTAATCCCAGCTACTCAGGAGGCTGAGACAGGAGAATTGCTTGAACCTGGGAGGCAGAGGGTGCAGTGAGCCGAGATGATGCCACTGCACTCCAGCCTGAGTGACAGAGCAAGACTGTCTCAAAAAAAAAAAAAAGATAAAAAAAGAGTTGCAGTTGAAAGCAGAGGGGCATCGGCCTCCTGCTCCACCTGGAAGGCCAGGACGAGCACACGTGGATTCCACATCCAACACAGCACTGTCCTCATGCAGCATGACCACTAGCAGAGGGTGGGAATGGATGTGTGGACCTGGGGCAGGCTCCACAGCCCGCAGGGAGGAGGTTAGGGATCTAGCAACCATGTACACCCCAGAGTGCGTCTGGGAGTGCTCTGAGACTGGTGAAAGAGGCCTAGGGGAAGAAGCCACAGAGGAGGAGGATCTGTGACCAGAGGCAAGGACTGGAATCACAGACTCCAGCCATGGCTAACATCACGATGCCCCTTTCCTAAATGGAACCAGTGAGTCCTTCAAGAGATCTCAGGCTGGGGACCAGGCCAGACCAGCCAATTCACATGGGAAACCAGTACAGGACGAGAGCACCTGGTACTACATTTATCCACACAGCCCTGGGCATCCAGACAGCGTGGAGAACCCGAGAACTCTGAAAGACTGCACCGCTACACCGTGGAAAAGGGTTCTCTGAGCCGAGATTCCGCAAACAGGCAAACTTAATTCGGTTTCCCTGCTCCTCACCATCTCACTCCAAAACCCATTGAGATAAGGCTCATGGGAAGAACGAGCCATTCTAGAGAAATGTAGAAGTGATATTGTACCTGCATGTCTTAGTAAAAGAGAGGAAATCCGTGATCCTGTTACATTTATATTTGGAGATCTTCGTGTGTTTTAGGTTTGGCACTTGTTCCTGATATTTTTACTCTTCCTTCTGCAATTCAGATGAATTCCAAGCAACTTGAAATATTAATGCTTCCGTCTGACTTGTCATAAAAATGTATGTTTTCTTTCAGCACAAGCTCACCCCCAAATAGCTCATGAGCCCTTATGTCAGTCAGGTTGTGTCTCAGGAAACAGAAACAACCAGCTATTTTGGGCCTGGGATGATTTGGGCAATTATAAAACTGCTGGCAAGGCTGCCTGTTTAGGCTAGGTATCCCGGAATGTTTCCCAGAACACTGAGCCATGATACAGAACAGGCTTGCCCGGATCACTACAACCTCCAGGATATCAGGAAGATAGGGAATTAGAAGGCCACCACCCAGATTGTTGGCTTTAATAACCTTCTGCTACAGTCACCATCCAGGGGTGAGTATGCTCCAGCCCGGACTCCCGCTGAGCTCAGAGCTGGAGATGAGTTCTGGTGATCTGTTCCAACCCTCACTGAGCCCCTGCTCAGACAGAGGCAGAGCTGATACTGTGGCCTCCTTCTCAAGAAGGTTCATCTCCTGGTAGACGCTAATTCATACCCAGTGACTGAGCTGCAAGGGAGTCAAGGAAACATGACTCTTTGTTCCCAGCCTCTGCAGCGCAGGGAGGCATATCAGAAGGAAGTTGGAATAAACACTGCATGTAAAACCATTTCTACCACACCCTTATAGGGACAATATTGTGCACAATTTTTTTCTTTTTTTTTTTTTGAGATGGAGTTTTGCTCGTGTCGCCCACGCTGGAGTGCAACAGTGCAATCTTGGCTCACTGCAACCTCCGCCTCCTAGGTTCAAGCGATTCTCCTGCCTCAACCTCCCCAGTAGCCAGGATAACAGGCGCCCACCACTACACCAGGCCAATTTTTGTATTTTCAGTAGAGACGGGGTTTCACCACATTGGCCAGGTTGGTCTTGAACTCCAGACTTCAGGTGATCTGCCCACCTCAGCCTCCCAAAGTGCTGGGATTACAGGCCCGAGCCACTGTGCCCGGCCTATGTATAAATTTGTTATATCTTTTGCTGGCATACATTTTTGGTTTATAATTACAAAAATAATATGTGTTCATAATATAAAAATTAGAAAACAAGTAAGTAACAAGAGAATAAAAATTACTCATAGTGCTTCAAACCTCAGGAATCATTGCTATAATAGTGTGATGTACATTCTTGGTCTTTTGTCTATTCACATGTAGATATTTTCTCTTTTTTTTTTTTTTTTAAGAGTTAGGGTCTCACTGTGTCACCCAGGCTGGAGTGCAGTGGTGCCATCATTAGTCACTGTAGCCTCAAACGCCTGGGCTCCAGCAATCTTCCTGCCTCAGCCTCCCAAGTGCCTGGGACTATAGGCGAGGACCATCATGTCCAGCTAATTGTTTTTTGTTTGTTTGTTTTGAGACGGAGTCTCCCTCTGTCACTCCAGACTGGAGAGCAATGGCACAATTGCAACCTCTGCCTCCTGGGTTCAAGCGATTCTCTCACCTCTGCCTCCCGAATAGCTGGGATTACAGGCACGTGCCACCATTCCAGGCTAATTTTTATATTTTTAGTAGAGATGGGGTTTCACCATGTTGACCAGGCTGGTCTCGAACTCCTGACCTCAAGAGATCTGACAGCCTCAGCTTCCCAAAGTGCTGGGATTGCAGGCGTGAGCCACAGCACCCAGCCTGTTTTGTTGTTGTTGTTGTTGTTGTTTTAAAAAAATTTTATAGATACAGGGTCTCACTATGTTCCCCAGGCTGGTCTC